TAATACATGAGACTAACACTAAGAACGCCAAAGTGTGGACCTTTTGGAAGAGCCAGGCTCCAACAATCAAGATGCACTAACAACATTTATGTCTTCAGGGCACAGCACCCGTCTTCTATGCTTTCATTAGAAAAATATTGTTCAGCCTTCAGCCAAAGGTCAGTTGATGTGCCGTTTCCATCTCCTACATCAGGATGATTCAGTCCTAAATTATCACAGCTCACAGTAAAGCAGCTGGTGACTTGCATCTTGAAGGTCACAAATAATGTTTCAGCATTGACTAGTCAATATAATTTGGAAGTCTAGATGCCTGCACTTCTGTAGTGCAGCTCTCTTCATATAATGTTACATGCACTAACAAGTTTTGCCATCTCGATAAAAACAGAAACAGAACAAATAAACAGAAAAAAACAACCAACCAGGAACTAATTCCCTCACACTGTAACACCCAGAAAGTGCTGGGGATTGAATGGCTCTGAAAGATGAAGCCACTGTCATTGAGATTTTACAGCATAAGAAACTGTCAGGGGAAAAAAGTGAAAAGTAGGAATTTATCAAGACTTACTGGTATCTTTCTAATGACCAAGGTTTTGACTACGGAATCATAATACTGCAAAATAGTAATCAAAATAATAATCATGACTAAAGGGAGCAAGATAAAGGGTTAACAGGAGCAAAGGAAACTAAGAAGCAAACTGAAAGAAATAAAGATGGGAAAAAAAGCACAAAGTGTTAAAAGCAAGCAGCAAAGTAAAAAAACCAAACAAAACACAAAACAGCCAACAAAAAAAAAAACCAAAAAAACACCACCAAAAACAACAAACCCAAACAACAACAACAAAAACTTAGCTCAAATTACAAGCAGCTAACAGAACTGGAAAGCCCAAAGTCACTACCCAATGGTGGTGGTTGTGACCTTCACTAGATAGGCCAGAGGTCCAAAAAAACTCAGAGTAACCAACCCTGGTTAAAGCTACAAGACAACATGGAGACTGAGAATGGTAGTTAAATCAAGCTAAAGATCTGCAACCTCTTAGACAGGCCATCTTTAACTTTAACAGATGAATAAGGAGCAAACTACAGCAAGTTATTGGCTTTTCTTACTGATGATACCCGAAAGTGAAATACTTGCTTCTATTTCAGGATGCTTACAGAAGTTATAAGCTAAAAGAACCATTTAAAAATGTAGGTCTCTCTTTATTTCTGTAATTTTGTAAGACACCATGTGCTGTATATGTCCAAAGCAGCTCAACAGCTGTACGCACTGATACCACAAAACTTGTTACTGTTCATTTTATGCTGATGAAAACCATGTCCCCATGAGTTTACTGTGGCCAGCTTTCTTCCCATCCTCTCCCTAAGCACTGCAAAAATTTAATTCAGAACCACCACCCTTGGGATTTGTGAACTACTGAAACACATTTCCTTCTTTGGGATTGAGAGCCTGCCTCCACTTACTCTTAGACATTTCATTGGAAATACCCCTCCAGACACCTGCAGGAAACTTGCTGCATTTTTCTAGCCTGGCAATTCCAAGAGATACCATAAATCTGAGATCATCAGAAGATACAGGTACTACAAAACCAGCACTGGATATTTTATCATGTTTAATTACTGTTCAGCACTGCTGAAGACCTGCACTTCTCATAATGCAGCTTCTGAACACTGCCTGCTTTTTGATCTGCAGAATTTAAGAAATCCTGTAACAAGGCTTACAAAGCTACTCTGGGAACTAATAACAGGGCTGGAAAAACCCAGACATACTGCTCTACTTCTGCCACTCTTCAATTTTCAGCAACAGAAGGGAGTGTAAATTGTACTTAATTGCAAAATTGTCAGTTCAGTCCTTGAGTCAGTAAATTATACTTTTACAATTTCTCCTCATTCTCCCCTCTCTCCTTTGGCAGGGAAGGCACACTTCCAGCATTATTTCTCATCTTCTCAGAGCACTTGTACTCTCCTAGAGTAACCCCCTTTCTTCTCACACGCTCCTACAGGACACCACATCCCACCACATCTCACAGCCTTTCTCCATAGAGTCCCTTGGCTCCTCACTAATTGAAGTTCTCACTCCTGCTCTGGAATCTGTGTACCTAAAAGTTTAATAGTTGTGAAACCAGCAGCAAAACTTTTTAAGCTCAACAGTCTACTCAGCTTGAGGATAAAGCACTATGAGCATCCCTTGTCAAAAAAAATTCTAAGCTTGACACCCAAACCTGCCTTGTTCCCACTTTTTTAATATCACAAAAATATAAGTATAAAGCTCAACGCTATCTGAAGTAGACAAAAGCCTACATAGTCTCATTAGATTTCTGTTTTAGCTCTTTAATTACAGTTAAAAGAAAATATACCTTTAATAGTACTTGTCGCAATGAAGTATCTTCCAAAGTTTTCTTGACTTGGGCACATTTTATGTCACAAACTCACATAGTATCAAATATAAGAACTAAATATTTGCTTAGCAAGGTATCTAAGAGACAACTGAATGCTCAGAGTCATTTACTTCTGTATTAGAAGGGATATGTTATTCTATCAGGATACAGGATTTAGCACATGCATGCTGGACATAATTTGGCAAATCAAGGATTTAATAATAATCTATCAGTTCACCCCAAAATAAATCAAATCACTTGGCACACTACTTATAAGTACTAGTCCCTGTGCAAAGTACCGGGAAATTTTACATCAGCCAGTCACTTTCACGTGGACAGAGCCAATTTCTGAGAGAATCATTAACACAAAAGTGAAATGTAGTAATCTGCAGTTTTGCTCAAGGAAGAACTAAAGTCTGTGAATGTGACTAAGTAAAACAGAGTAAATCGTGCTTTGTTTAGCTTCTGCTTTGAAAGAAGTTAAGTTTCCTTTTTGATTTTGCTCTGTTTACTAACACGATCAGGCGTAGTACTCTCAAATTATAAACAAGCGTCAAAAGATACATTTTATCAGAGAAACTCTCATCCACAAAACACCACATAGTTTTAGGTTTAAAATAAGCAATTAGAACCTACATTAGGAGACAAATACATTTAAAGAGGCAATGAACTGGGGAAAAATTTATAAGCTTCTTGTAAAGGAAAGAAAGTTATCCATGCGGGAAGTCTTTCGGCAGTCACTAGGACTCCAGCTCTTTCCCCTTAGCAATGAGACCAGCTGTTTACTTCCCTCCATGTTGGGCAGATAAATCCTTATAAAAGTGTCAGCTCTACACTGTCCAGCCAGCCACAAGAACTGTTGGTACAAATAACAGTCTGGATTTACGTATCACCTTTAAAGTCCAATAGGAGGTGATATTTAAAACGAGAAGGAAGAAAACACGAATTAAAACACAAAGTAATGGTACATGTTGCACACACTGTAATAGAGGGAGAATCACTTATATGCCAGTGCCCTGAGCAGACTGTATGCTGAATTCTGCAACTTGGAACAAAGTAACATTGCCAATCCCCTTCCCATTTCCCTTACAACAATGCCACACTGGAAGAAGAAATTAGCAAACACTACTACAAGAAGTTATTGGTTTAAAATTCTTTTCATCTCCAACAAGCATTCAGGACATGTACTTTGTGTTAGCCTGCCTCTTCCGAAAATACTACAATTAAATGTTCCACTGTAAACTGTCATTTTCCATATACTAATGGTAATTTTAAAAAATTTATTCAGCTGGACAGGTTAAATTAAAAGGATATTTAAGATAGCTTTTTTTTTTTGCCTTTACAAATAGAAACATCTTATGCAATAAACACTAAGAATTGTTTCACTTAAATATTTTAAATACAGAATCCAACAGTTCTCCCTACTACCATGTTTACATTTTGCTACTACACCCAAATAACAAAACGCAGCTTGACTCATCCGCCTTCAATATCCCCAGTGAAAACGAGTAAAACTCCTACATGGCACAAGAGGAGCAGATGCGTGGTCAGATTTCCTACAGGGAGCTTCTAGAGTAAAACCCAGTTACATTTGAAGACTGATAGAAACAAGACCGTTTCGACTGCAAACATTTACTCTTTCCATAACACATTCAGAACAAACTTGCACGTAGGCTGGGACTTTTCAGAGGTGTTCAGCAGCCTCATTACTAGTTACCACGAGACCTCCTCAAGGGAGTAAAGCTGGAGTACATACAACACTGTTTGAAGGCATAGGTCCTTCCTATGTGCATAAATGTTTATTCTTAGTCTTACTGTTGGTAATTGCCTGTGAACCAATCTGTAAACATGTTTATCACACAGGAAACAAAACCATAACTCTGAAAGTTAGCTCATTATTACTACTGATAAATGAAAGCAATAAAATTTTAATACCCATCACATCAGCAGAACATCCCTCCCCACAGAAATGTTAATTTTACTCTTATTTGCCCCATGAAAACATTCAGTCAAGGAGGATATAGTTCATTTTGCCAATCAAATTACTTCGCCCATGAGAGCTCAGTTTTGTGAGACATTCTGCAATTCGAACTTTTATTTCAAAAATAAAAACTATTACTATATCCAATGTCTACTTCATTTTTTCCTGTCATTCATGTTTTACATCTTTGTTTTTTAAGACAAGAGAATGTTAATAGCCCAGTATCCTTAATGCATCTTCTCAGTAAGACTAAGCATTAATCTAATAATACAAAAACATCATGCCCCATTCTGAAAGGCAGCGAATGCCTTCATCTCCCTTGATATCAGACCACGTAACATTAGAAGTGTTGAGGTTTATTGATCAGTCCATTCTTTCCCATCCTGTGAGGTTCTGCCATATATTCATTACAAAGGACCATACACTATAATGCACTGATATAAAACAAACAATACTAATGTATTTTTTTTTGTGCTTACCAAACTCATAGAATCAACCACATGATTCAAATAAGGGCAGAGCAGACAGTGCAACTGCACACGCTAGGATGGTTTTCCAGATGGACATGACTCTTAAAGGGTTTCCTTTTCTAAAATAAATGGTAAAGTTTATAAAAGCCAGGAAGCCTTCCCAGTGCAGTTCCTTACATACACAGGGAGCCATTCCGCAACTGCCAAATCTGGAAATAAAACCAAAGAAAGACCCCACATTTCTCAATCAGTCAACCTGGACCCACACTAGAAGAACACCTACACTTCAATGTTAAACCTTGACAATGTAACTTAGCAAACTACATATCCTAGTTAATTCCATTGAAGTATTTCTCATTGAGAAACAGCTGCACTTGCAAGGATCTGTATATCATCACCAAATTTTTTAAAAACTATTTTAACACCTACTTTTGTCCACATAAAAGTAGACTATGGCTTGCTTTGGGGTGGGGAGAACAGGAGAAGAGCCCTGGGTCAAAGCCCGACTTTGTTACGAAGGGTTTGCACACAAATTATTCTCGCCTGGATTTGCAGTTAAATCAACTGTGTTCCTGTTCTAACCACCAAGAACAGTTAAAATAATACGGCCTCAAACAAACACATGCTTGTCCAAAGAAAAATAATGACAATATTTATCCCAAGGCACATCTGCTGGAGCCCTGCCAGCCTCTTCCCGCAGACCGGCAGCAGAAGCGACTTTCGCAGTTATGCCCGGTCCAGACCCGATTGCTGAACACCACCGGGATCCCCGAGGGCCTCGGGGGAGGGAAACCCCCCTCGGGCCCGGTTTTCCCAAGCGCCCAGCAGCACCCGGCTCCAGCGGGTGGGAGCAACAGCAAGAACTAGGCTGGGGTGCCTTCTCCCAAAGGCACCGTATGGCATCCCGGGCACTTCCCTGGGACCAGCATCAACGTGCCCGAGAGAAGAAAGAAGAAAAGGGTCGGGAGCACAAAACACGAATTGAGAGCCCAAGCACAAACAGAGGAGAGTTCCCCCTCCTGAGCCCCGGAAAAGAAGGACCACCGGCCGCGGCCGCCCCACTCTCTTCCCACGTTCAGGAGGGGGCCCCCGAGGGGCCAGCGCTGCCCGGCCGTTCCCCTCCGGCCCCAGGGAAGATGGGCGGGGGCAGCCGCTTCCCTCCTCCTCCACCACCGCCGCCCCCCGGCCCAGCTGGGCCCTGCTGCACCCCGGGGCCCCCCGCCCCACTCACCGGCCGTCTCGGCGGCCCCCCGCGACCCCGCCCCCCCCCTCAGCGGGCAGAGT